ACTATGATACGGGTGGCTGTAAGGAAATAGGTATTTTCTACTTGCTGTAAGACATGGGCTGAAGTGTGATCTATTTGGAGTCATTCCATGGTTGGCTTAGAAGAGGGAGCATGCTGGGGCTCCGCATGGACTAGACTGCAGACATCTGCTGAGACCTTCAGCCTAACGCTGACCTGCCTTCTGCAGACATCTGCTGAGGCCTTCAGCCTAACGCTGACCTGCCTTCTGTATGTTGTATTCAGTAGGTAGTTTCACTAGGTGGCCGATGAAGAGAACACCACGAGGTAATCAGACAGGAAAAGAAGTGTATTTACCACCCTGCTGCCCCCCCCCCCCCCCCGGTGTGTGGTGGAGAGGCAGGACTTATCTGGGCCAGGAATGGGAAGAGGTGTGGCCAGGTGGAAGAAAGGTCTGGCCACACTGGATCTGGATCTGACCTCAGGGCCTAGGATCCTCCTATGGTCAGATGGGAGCCAAGACCACCGGCAGCCCAGGATGTGATCTAGCAGGAGGGGCAGTGACTGCTTCCAGGTGTGCTGGTTCCCTAGGTAACAGACATTGGGGGGAGACTTAGCCAGGAGGTGGAGAGGTCTCTGCACAGGGCCAGCTTGCCCCAGGGCAGACATGACACCTTTGTTAGATTTTTGGAGGGGTGTCGGGATCATCTCTGGGTAGAGTGGGGTATTGAAATCTCCTACTTTTGAAAAAAAAAATCAAGGATTGATTGTTTTTTCCCCCACAAATACACTGAGAAAAGTCACACAAAGAAAAGATTTCTTGCTCCCCATGAAATATCATTGCATCTAGCCCTTCTGTTATTTTATGCCCTGCAGTGGTTTTATCTTGTGCAGCATTAAATGCTGTCTCTTTTTGATTGCTGTTTGTCTGGGTGGATGACTCCTTTTATGCCTGTAAACTGGCTTTTATCTTGGGGTGGATTTTGCTTGGAGTCTTCATTGGGAGAAATGAGCACAGGTACTTCAGTTACCATCTAGCTTCTCTTCACTAGGCATGTGATCTTCCATCCTTTCCCTCAGCCTGTGAGTGTCTTTGCCAGTGACCTGAGTTTCTTTCTCAGTCACCTGACTTTCTTTCCACTGAAACTTCTTCCTCTCCTCCTCCTCCTCCTCCTCCTTCGTCATCTTCTTCTTCTTGTTGTTGTTCTTCTTCTTCTTCTAATCGCATCAGCCAAGTGTGTGCCTTTTAATTTGAGAGTTAAGGCCATTTTCCTTTGCGTCATTGTGGACTGTCATGAGCTGATGGTTGTCATTCAGTGTGTCTTTTTCTGCTTATTCTGCATAGTTTTATTTTTATATCTTCCTTATTTGCTTTGGGAGTAGGCTGATTTTCATTTTGTATTTCAAGTCTTTTATTGTTATTGTAGGGGTGATATATAGGGTTTTACAGTTACATAAGTCAGAAAATGAGTACATTTCTTTGTTTTTAATAGTGTCTCATCTTCCCTCATTTTCTCCGTTTTTCCCTCCTGAACCCCTCCCCCACAAGTTGTGTAGTTTGTTTTCAAAGTGTCTAGTGAATATCAGGGCGGCATTTGTTCACCCTTTGTCCCTCCATTTCTGTACCTCCCTTACCATCCCCCAAACTGATAAACTTACATACAAGACATCAGGTACAGAAATCTAAAACAGGACAAAGGAGAAAAAATAGCAAAATAACCAAACCCTCTTGTTTCCATTTCTTGGAGTTCATTTCAGTAAGTGGTATTTTATATGATCAGATGCACATAGCTATTGGGCCTTTGTGATCCTCTCCTGAGAATATCTGTCTTGTTCTCACTGTGTGAGTGTTTAGAGTCCTGTATAATTCACCATGTAGTTGGCTGGCTTTCTGAGTTCCTTCCCAGTTCTTGTTTGTTCAGCCATTCCTCTCGATATCTGTCCTTTCCTCTCATTATCCATCTGTCCCTCTTGATATCCACCCATCCTTCCCATATTACATCCATCCCTCTAGTTATCCATCTGTCCTTCTTGTTAGACATCCGTTCCTCTCGTTACCTCTCCTTATCTGTTTGTCCCTCTCAGGATCCATCCATGCCTCCCCAGCTTTCCCATCATCTCTAGCGGGCTTCCTCATTTCTGTATGGCGTTTCATTCGTTTTTTTTTTCTGTTTTGTGTCCGGTCCTGGGGCCTGAACTCTGGGCCTGGGCACTGTCCCTCAGCTATTCATCTCAAGGTAGCACTCTACCACTTGACCCACAGTGCTTCTTTTGGCTGTATTATTTTTGCTTATGTGGTGCTAAGGAATGGAACCCAGGGCCTCATGCATGCAAGGCAAGCGCTCTACGACTGAGCCATCTTCCCAGTCCCTGCGATTTCTTTAGTAGCTATTTTGATGCCAGTTTTTGGTCCCAAATTGTTTTTGCTTAGTTTTATCTCTCCATCATTGTTAAGTGATAATTTTGCTGGATATAGTAATATGGGTTGGCAGTTCTTCATTTTCAGGACTTGAACATATCATTCTACCTTTTCCTGGACTCTAGGGTTCCTCTTGATATAGATCTGATGAATTTGCCTTTGTGAATCACAAGGCCTCCCTCCCCCCACCTCTCTGATATCCATCCTTGGCTCTGTTCTCTACATTTTAACTGTGATGCAAGATGGAAGTTCTTCTCTGATCAAGTCTAGTATCTGCTGCTCTAGACACCTGGTGGGTGTCCATATCTTCCCTAGGTTTGGGGAGTTTCCTGATGCAATGTCACTGTAGACGTTCTGTGGTTTTTGTAGTTTTTGTTTGCATCTCAGCTCCCTCTACTCCACACAATTTCCCTTCTGTATTTCTCATCTTAGCTGCTGAATTTCTTGTCATTTCAAATTAGCTTTCTAACTCCATCCACTTATTTGAATCCTCTTTGAGGCCTTTGACCATTTCTAAACTAGACTTTTGAGTTCTTTCTGTGGCATTTCATCTCCCGTGATGCCTTGGGTTTTGGCACTAGGGGAGGAAAACATTCAAAGGCTCCGTAGAGGGTACAAATGAACACAGGCTATAAGTGCTTTCCTTGCGTTTTGGGGTTTCTGCCTTATGATCTGTGCTCCCTTTGTGGGGAGCCATTTTCAGTCCGTGGATGGTGGGCACTGGGAGAGCTGATGGGTCTACACAGCAGCCAGGGCTGCAGGGATGTGTGCACACACAGAGCAGGGAGCAGGATGCCAGGAGTGACAGGGCGAGGCGGTAGGTTCCTGCAGGATGCTTTCAGGGCTGCAGCGATCACAAAGGGTCCCTACAGGTGGGAGACAGTGACTTAAGGCTCTCCCAGGGCCACGCTTCCCCCCCCCCCCAGCTCTTCACCTTGGAGCTCAGAGTTACCTAGAAAGGAATTCCTTTCAATTACAGGGTGGGCTCTCCTGGCAGTCCTGCATTTACCTAGCCATTTGTAGCCTCCTACTTATTACAGTGTGCAGGTCTTGAAAGAAGACAGCATGGGCTGGGAGGTAGAGCACATGCTTGCCTCACATGTATGAGGCCCTGGGTTCAATTCCTCCCCCCACATAAGCAACAAAAAGCCAGATGTGGTGCTGTGGCTCTAGTGGTGGAGCACTCGCCTTGAGCTGAAGAGCTGAGGGACAGCACCCAGGCCCAGAGTTCAAGCCCCACGACCAGCAAAACACAAAACTAAAACAAACCAAACAAACAGTACACAGAGACCCACAGCAAGCAGGTCTGCCTCCACTGTCTATGGTCGTCTGTTTGTGCCATGGATCTTTCTGGGGTTTTAATATCACGTCATTTTATGATAACTACAGATGAGTCTCAGCCCCTCTGCTGTGTTGAGTGCTTTGTCCATGAGTGTGGTCCGTGCCCTTATTGACAGAGATGTTCTTGGGTTTGCCTCTCTGCATGGTATGGTTGGCAGCACGCAGGTCTCTGTTTAGTGAAGTTCATGCTCCGTGTCCATGATGAACGGGGCATTTGCCAGCACTCGCTGCCATCATGGAGCTCCCTGTGTGTGTGGGCCCCGTAGCCTGAGATTTGCTAAGACGCACTTCCTAGTCCCATGTCCCTGCATGCAGGCACCCATGAACCATGGGTGGTCTTCCTAGATCCCTGCCAGGCTTCCTCCCACAGTATCCTATCCCCTCCTCAGCCCCAGGCTCACACAGGCTTGGCCTCCTCTCAGGAAGGCCTGGGCTTGGGTAGGGGCACAGGCAGCTTGGCTCAGGCAGCACGCCCAGCTTTCCTCCCTGGCCACCCATGCCCTGGACCCCGAGGCTCCACCTCGGCCTGCCAGGGCCCACCATCCCTGGACAAATGAAGAACCAAAGAACTGGACTTTATTTGTCAGATTGAAGCTCATATAATATCAATCAATCAATCATTCAATGAATAAAGCTCACCACAAGAATTAGACCATGCTTTGGAAAGCTTTTTATTTAAGGACGCCACAGCATCCTGTTGGACATGGTAGGGGGAGGATGAGAGAGACAAAGCTGCGGGTGGGGGGAAGGAGGGAGAAGAAGGACAGGGGAAAGAAGGAAAAAGGGGCAGGGAGGAGGCAGAAGGAAGAAAGAGAGGGAAAATGGAGAAAGGGAAGTGAGAGAGAGGGAGGGAAGAAGAGAGAAAGGGAGAGAAGAAGATAGGGAGGGCAGCAGGCAGGGAGAGAGGAAAGGAGAGAGGGAGGGAAGGAAGGAGGCAGGCAGGGAGGCAGGCAGGGAGGGAGAGAGCAGTGTCAGGACCAGTGTTGAACAGCTGGAGGAGTCAGGGATGCTCTGGCAAGGCTGATCCAGGGGTTCAGGGCGCTTAAAGGACCAAGAGGGCTGAGGGTGTTGGCTCTTGAGAAGGGGTGGGTCAGCAAAGACAGCAGGACCAGCTTGGGCTCTGCCCCTGGGCAGGGCTCCCTGCTAGCACCCTGAATGCTGGCTCTGCAGGAGGCCAGGGTTCTGGAGCATAGTGGGGGTGGAGCTTCAGGTCTGTGAGAAGCAGCAAGACCTTTGCTGAGAAACCCAACTGTTCCAGCTTACCTGTGTCTGTGATCAGAGCCTCAGACCTTGCACTGGCAGCACACGGGGGCACAGCAGCTGGAGCAGCAGGGTTTGCAACAGCTGGACTGGCAACAGCAGGGCTTGCAGCAGCTGGACTGGCAGCAACAGCAGGACTCACAGCAGCAAGGCTTGCAACAGCTGGACTGGCAGCAGCAGGGTTTACAACAACTGGACTGGCAGCAGCAGGGCTTGCAACAGCAGGACTCACAGCAACAAGGTTTACAACAGCAGGACTCACGGCAGCAGGGTTTGCAACAGCAGGATGGGCAGCAGCAGGGTTTGCAACAGCAGGATGGGCAGCAGCAGGGTTTGCAACAGCTGGACTCACAGCAGCAGGGTTTGCAACAGCTGGACTCACAGCAACAGGGTTTGCAACAGCTGGACTCACAGCAACAGGGTTTGCAACAGCTGGACTGACAGCAGCAGGGTTTGCAACAGCTGGACTGACAGCAGCAGGGTTTGCAACAGCTGGATTTGCAGCCCCCACAAGAACCACAGCCCCCCTTGCAGCCCCCACAGGAGCCACAGCCTCCCTTGCAGCCCCCACAGGAGCCACAGCCTCCCTTGCAGCCCCCACAGGAGCCACAGCCCCCCTTGCAGCTCCCGCAGGAGCCACAGCCCCCTTTGCAGCCCCCGCAGGAGCCACAGCTGGAGCAGGAGCAGGAGCAGGCTGGCACACAGCAGCTCATGGTTGTGGTGGTGGAGGGTGGAGGAGGTGAGAGGAGCAGGTGGAGAGAGAGGTGAGTGGTGTGGGGCCTCCTGGCCTGGCCTTTATGTCCCTGTGGGGTCAGGTGTGGACTGGGCACGAGGTCACTTCGTGGTCTGGGGCACATGGTCACTTCCTGGTCCTGTGTGGGCTTTCCCTGGGAAGTTGTGTGTCATTGCAAAGTAACAAGCATGGATGAGTCATGTGGCACACCTCCTGAGACACACTTCCTGGGACAAACCTTGCAGGACAAATGAAGCAGGACACTTGGTGAGCGGGGCTGGGCTCTGTCCCTGCTGCCTGCCGCACTCACCCCTCCATGTGTGCGCTGTTCCAGGAGGTGTTGAACAACAGCAGGCTCTCCACGGGCTCCCTGGTCTTGGGGTTTCATGTAGTCAGAGTTCTGGGCCTGCTCTTGACGCTAGATCCTGTCTGAGAGAGAAAGTTCTGGAGCAGTCACTCTCCCCTATGCTGGTGGTCTGGGACCCTGTGGCCTGGGCTCTGGGGCTCCTTCCCCTGAGCTTCCTTGGCGACTTTCTTGCTGTGCTGTCCTGCTTCATTCTTCGGCATCTGGCCAGCCTGGGGCTCTTTGCTCTGGTTAGTTTTTACAAGATTTGTCCCTCGGGTTTATTCTTTCAAAGAGTGCTGCTTCATCCATTGCTCTGCACTATTATTTCATTTTTCACTCATCAGCTCTGATGCTTTGTAAAATAATTCTTGTTACTTTATAGGGGCTGCCAGAGGGGTTTCAGTTGCATAGGTCAGGTAGAGTTCATTTCATTTTGGACAGTGTCATCCCTGCCCTCAGTCTGTCCTAGATTTTCCCTCTGCCCCTGCCGACAAGTTCTAGAGTCCATTTTCCACGTTGTGTCCAGTGAGGAACACGGCTGCATTTGTCCAGCCTTTGCTCGGTTCTGACCTTCATTGTTTCTTTCCTTCTGGTGACTTGGGGCTGGGCTTGGTCTTCCTTGTCTTCAGACGTGGATGGGCATGCTTAGCTCTGATCTTTCATGTAGGTTCCCATCGCTACAAACCTTCCTTCTACCCCTCGTTTCATTGCTGTGGAATTGCAAACACTGAAAAGTGTCATCTTTACTTCCATTTGATTCTAGGAAGCCTTTTGTTCCCCTCTCCTCCTTCTTCAATGAAAGGTCTATTGGGTGAGTGTGTTTTCTCTCTGTGATGTCTTTTTGTCTTCTTCTACTATGATACTGTGGCTGTAAGGAAATAGTCAGTTATTTTCTACTTGTTGGAAGACATGGGCTGAAGTGTGATCTATTTGGAGTCATTCCATGGTTGGCTTAGAAGAGGGAGCATGCTGGGGCTCCGCGTGGACTAGACCGCAGACATCTGCTGAGGCCTTCAGCCTAACGCTGACTTGCCTTCTGTAAGGTGTATCCAGTAGGTAGTTTCACTAGGTAACGCATGAAGAGAACCCCACTCTGTATTCAGACAGGAAAAGAAGTGTATTTACCACCCTGCTGCTCCCGCGGTGCATGGAGGAGAGGCATGGCGGAAAGGGGAGACTCACCCCAGGCCAGGACTTATCTGGGCCAGGGATGGGAAAAGGTGTGGCCACGTGAGGAAAGGTCTGGCCACACTGGATCTGGATGTGACTTCAGGGCCTAGGATCCTCCTATGGTCAGATGGGAGCCAAGACCACCGGCAGCCCAGGATGTGATCTAGCAGGAGGGGCAGTGACTGCTTCCAGGTGTGCTGGTTCCCTAGGTAACAGACATTGGGGGGAGACTTAGCCAGGAGGTGGGGAGGTCTCTGCCCAGGGCCAGCTTGCCCCAGGGCAGACATGACACCTTTGTTAGATTTTTGGAGGGGTGTCGGGATCATCTCTGGGTAGAGTGGGGTATTGAAATCTCCTACTTTTGAAAAAAAATCAAGGATTGATTAATTGTTTTTTCCGCCACAAAGACGCTGGGAAAAGTCACACAAAGAAAAGATTTCTTGCTCCCCATGAAGTCTCATTGCATCTAGACCTTCTGTTATTTTATGCCCTGCAGTGGTTTTATCTTGTGCAGCATTTAATGCTGTCTCTTTTTGATTGCTGTTTGTCTGGGTGGATGACTCCTTTTATGCCTGTAAACTGGCTTTTATCTTGGGGTGGATTTTGCTTGGAGTCTACATTGGGAGAAATGAGCACAGGTACTTCAGTTACCATCTAGCTTCTCTTCACTGGGCATGTGATCTTCCATCCTTTCCCTCAGCCTGTGAGTGTCTTTGCCAGTGACCCGAGTTTCTTTCCCAGTGACCTGAGTTTCTTTCCACTGAAACTTCTTCTTCTTCTTCTTTTTTTAAAATCGTATCAACCAAGTGTGCGCCTTTTAATTGGAGAGTTAAGACCATTTACCTTGGGGTTATTGTGGACTGTCTTGAGCTGATGGTCATCATTCAGTGTGTCTTTTTCTGCGTATTCTGAATAGTTTTAGTTTTTATATCCTCCTCATTTGTTTTGGGAGTTGGCTGATTTTCATTTTTCATTTTAAGTCTTTTATTGTTATTGTTACGGTGATATATAGGGTTTTACAGTTACATAAGTCAGAAAATGAGTACATTTCTTTGTTATAACTGTGTCTCATCTACCCACATTGTCTCCATTTTTCCCTCCTGAACCCCTCCCCCACAAGTTGTGTACTTTGTTTTCAAAGTGTCTAGTGAATATCACAGCGGCATTTGTTCACCCTTTGTCTCTCCATTTCTGTACCTCCCTTTCCTCCCCCAAACTGATAAACTTACATACAATTCAGAAGGTACAGAAATCAAAAACAGCAACAAAGGAGAAAAAAATAGCAAAATAACCAAACCCTCTTGTTTCCATGTCTTGGAGTTCATTTCAGTACATGGCATTTTATATGATCAGATGCACATAGCTATTGCATCTTTGTGATCCTCTCCTGAGAATATCTGTCTTTCTTCTCACTGTGTGAATGTTTAGAGTCCTGTATAATTTATCCTGCAGTTGACTGTGCATGTGAGTGGAATATGATCTACTCTTTCCCAGTTCTTGTTTGTTCATCCATTCCTCTCGTTATCTATCAGTTCCTCTTTTTGTCCATCTGTCCATCTTGATATTCACCTCTCTCTCTCATTATCCATCTATCCTTCTCATTAGATATCCAGTTGTCTCATGAGCCATCTGTCTCTCGTATTATTTACCTGTTATCATTAGTCACCCGTCCCTCTCATTATCTATTTGTCCCTCTCTTCCATCCATGCCTCCTCAGCATTCCCATCATCTCCAGCTTGCTTTCTCATCTCTGTATGGGATTTCTTTAGTAAATATTCTGATGCCAGCTTTTGGTCCTGAATTGTTTTTGTTTACTTTTATCTCTCCATCAATGTTAAGGGATAATTTTGTTGGATACAGTATTCTTGGTTGGCAGATATTATTTTCAGGACTTGAATTTATGATCCCATATTTTCCTGGATTCTAGGGTTTCTCTTGATTTAGATGTGATGAATTTGCCTTTGTGAGTAACCAAGTCCTCCATGTCCACCCCCCGTCCCCCGATATCATTCCTTGGTTCTGTTTTCTACATTTTAACTGTGATGTGGAGTGGAAGATCTTTTCTGGTCAAGTGTAGTATCTGCTGCTCTAGATACCTCCTGGGTTTCCATGTCTTCCCTAGGGTCACAGAATTTCCTGCTATAATTTCACTGCATAGACCTTCTGTGGCATTTGTAGTTTTCGTTTGCATCTCAGCTCCTTCTTCTGATGCACAGATTCTTAGTTTGATCTCTTGATCTGTCTCAGAGTACTGGAAAGCTGGCATGTGATTGCTGTTGTTTTGTTTCGGTCTGATTTTCACACTTCCATGACACCATCTTCCTCCCTGTCATCCTTTCTTCTGCTTGATCTAGTCCACTGGCGACACTTTCCATTGAGGCTTTCTATTTTATTTATGGAGTTTTTCAATTCCAATATTCCCATTTTTTCCCTCATAAGTGTGTGTATTTGTGTGTGTGGGTGTTTGTGTGTGTGTGTGTGCATGTGTGTTGAGTGTGTGTGTTTGCATGTGTTTGTATACAAATCCTGGGGTTTGAACCCAGTGCCTGGGTTTTGTACTCAAGGCTGGTGCTCTACCACTTGAGCCCATATCCACTTCTAACTTTTTGGTGGTTAGTTGGACATAAGGTTGTCACATACTTTCCTACCCCAGCTGGCTTTGGACTATAATCCTCAGATCTCAGCCTCCTGAGGAGCTAGGATTACAGGTGTGAGACACAAGAATCTGGGTTTTCCACTTTATTACCTTCAAATGGTTGCCAAACATGTTTTCCATTTCAAGAGATTTTTCTCTTTTGCTGCTTTTCTTTTTAAAATGGTTTCCATTTAGCATGTGTATTTATGTGGGCACTGCATCCTATCAATTCTGTTTTTGGTTTCTTTTTTTTTGTTTGTTTCCTGTTGTTGTTTTCAGGATCTCAACTTGCCTTCTGTATTTCTCATCTCAGCTGCTGAATTTCTTCTTATTTCAAATTAGCTTTCCAACTCTATCCATTTATTTGACTCCTCTTTGAGGCCATTGACCATTTCTAATCTAGACTTTGAGCTCCTTGGGTGGCATTTCAGCTCCTGGGATGCAATGGGTTTCATCACTAGGGGAGGTAAACATTTGAAGGCTCCATAGAGGGTACAAATGAACACAGGATGTGCTTTCCTTGCATTTTGGGATTTCTGCCTTGTGATCTTTGCTTCCTTTTTGGGGAGCCTTTCACAGCCCCAGGATGCCAGGCTGGGCTGAGGGATGAGTGCACACACAGAGCATGGAGGTCCTATGTGGGACTCCGGATGCTGGGGGGAGGGGTTGGCATGACTTGTGCCAGCCACGTGTCCCGCTCAATTTCCTGGCAGGCCAGCTCTGTCCAGTGCCCTGAGGGATGGTGGGAAAAGGGCAAAGGAACCAGACAGCACCCTGGCCAGCAGGTTCTCCAGCCCAGGGATCCCACCATGCAAGATCAGAGGCTCAGTAGGTCCCGGGCTCCCCAGGCCCTCCACACACAGAATCAGGGGATTAGCTGGCTCTCCAGCTCCAGGCCCTATCCTGTGGCATCAGGAGTGAGGGGTCCTGGAGAGCTCCATACTTGGGAATGCTCACATGTGCTGTTGGGGCTCACAGTGTGTCAACCATTAGGGGTTGTGGGCGCTTGAGGGGGCTGGCGGGTCTGTTAGGTCAGATGGAGGTGGATGTGGGTCTGGTCAGCTCTCAGGGAGTGGTGGGGTGAGGGCATGGGCCTCCTGTCCTCTCCACAGAGCTGTGAGATGGGTGAGGGGCCTTCGCTGTCCCACTCTCAGCCTTGGAACTGTG